CCCCTTGCCCTTCAGTGATCACTGAAAGTACGACCTTCAATAGAAGCTACCTCAGCCTAATTCCAAACGTTTTCACTTTTCATCTTCGAATAATTATTGTGTTACCCTTACTCCTGAGTGTACTCCCACTGTTACAGTAGAAGCCCCCCCCCCCTTTTTCCCCCTACAAACTCTGTATCCATTTACGTTGAATCCTGGTCTAGTAAAAACTGACATTCTTGTAAGGCTACCACGAGCGTATACATTTTTTCATTGATCTCATTACAGTTGTTCTTTTCCCAGTTGTTTGAAAGCCGTGAACAACAGTAGAGAAAACTTTGAGCTAATCATCTTGAACGTCTCCTTTATTTTGGACCCATAGAATTTTGAGAGTGTCCATATCCTGAAGTCTTTTGTAGCAGTAGTAAATCGTTAGTAATAATAATTTCTCTGGCTCTTTTTTGCTTTTAGATCTGCTATGTTCACTGTTAAGCTGTGTTATTTTTGTCTGTGATGGTGTCATGCTCTTTTATAAAGTTCTCGTCATGTCTTTTTCATTATCATTATCCTCTCCTTTTTCCATTTTTACTTCTCTTTCCTCTAGCCCACTTCTCAACCCTTTCTGAAAAGAATGTCAATAATTGGATGAGCCAATCTGAACCAGTACACTATGGAAGAAGCCTGATATGAAATTTTCTTGTCCACCGAAAATAATGACCTTGGCTGATGTGGTCTTGACCTGGAAGTTGATCCCAGCAAGCGTTGTTTGTAAAAAAAAAATATCTGAACAGGGAATCATTCGTGTTGCTAAAGGTATGGATTGATTTTCCACATCTAATGCGACAAAGACATAAGTATTTCATGTGAATTGGAAAAAAAATCTGATTACGAGTACATTGACGACTGTACTGCTAATCAATGAAAGACACGAAAGAAAGTATTTTAAAATTATTTTGTTTTATTTTGGATTTCAACTGACATCACAAGTTAATTGTTGCCAATTAATGTGATGCTGTGTTCTCCACTTTAATGTCTGAGAGCCGTGTCCATGTCTTCGTCAGGGATTCCGTTTGACTGGTGTTGTTGGTGGGGTTTATGCTGCGGCAGCCTTGGTCACACCGGCGAGGGCTTGGCCCAAAGCTTGCTGGATGCCCTGAGTGATGGCTTGACCAGCGCAGGTGATAGGACAGGCTGCTGTGCAGACAGACACTTGGCCTTTGCAGACGATCTGGTTGAAGCTGTTCGCGTTTTTGGCCTCGCAGTCGGCGTTCTTGGTTTGGCAGTCGGTGAGGCATTTGGTGTTACAGGAACAGGTCTGTCCACAGGCTCCGTTGCAGGCAGCTTTGTTGGCAGCACAGCTGACCAGGGGAGGAATATCCACGCACAGGGAGCCAATGGTCTCGCACAACAGGCTGCAGCCGTCCCCACAGAGTGCGGTGCCAGCGTCTTGAGCCATTACAGCACCGAACAGAAGAGCCGCAGAAATAAACACAATGCCTGGGGGTGGAGAAAGGGCGAATGAGTACTTAGCATAATATTATGGACGTTGCTTTATATGAAAGCAAAAAGGAAAAACAATGGATTCAGATGTAAAAACCCCGAGTGGCACCACTAGCTCTATTTCCTTACCACAATTGTTTTGAGATCTATAGTTAAGTCTTGGTATTTTTGGACTTTGGACCTTTTCTGTTTACGTGCATGGATATGTTTAATTCATATAGGTAGTTGTTAATCTGATTAATTTAAAGGTAAAGAACCTTGAAATATTTCTGCGGATGTAGAATCAAGACATTAACAGCACGCAGCGTATTTGATGCAACAGTCCCTGTCTCCTGATAGCTTTTCGTTCAAAACCCACTACCTTGGCATGTGAAATGATGGATGATTAAGCTTTGAATTCACTACCTTCCCATGTGAGTTGATAAATAATTAAGCTTTAAATTAACTACCTTCCCAGACTAGCTGATGAATGATTAAGCTTTAAACTTACTATCTTCCAATGTGAGCTGATGGAATGAACAATACAGTCTCTGTACGTTACAATGACGGCTCCTTGGATTTTACCAGTTCCCTATACCGTCCATCTAATTTTTGTTCCTCGAATATCAATGGCAAGGGGCTGTTCAAATATAATTTTACACCTTTTTTTGACTTTTTGACCCCCCCCCCCCTTTCTTACACTTTTCTTACATTTGCCCTTTACCCCCCCCCCCCCCCCCGTAATATTACATTGTTGATTTATAAGGATATAAATAATATGACATTTATATCGTGCAAATCCGTAAAACTATCATTGCTCTATGCGCATTGCATAATATTCATGAAAAACATGCATACACAATAATAATATACAATTATGCTCTAAAAAATAATAGGTGTCACGACATGGTGGGATCAAGCGCTCGTCAGTTTTGATTTTGAGGCATACAGAGTTATTGATATCATCTTAAAGCCTGTCCATTTGCCTTCCTTTAGATGAAAACAATATTCATCTATGCTGAATAGAAGTCGAAATATTTGTGATTGAAGGAGGTGGGGTCACCTGGTTTCAGAGGTAAATTTAGTGAGAAAACGGCCGCCAAAGTTTGATAACTTCAATAGCTTGAGAGCCTTTAAAACTGAAAAATCACAAATTTTGTTCATGTGATGAACGTTTTTCAGTATGGACGTAAAAGGTGTTTAGCGCGAAAAAAAAATTCAATTAAAGTTCCCAAACCTGCGGAAAAAATGTCAGTTTTTTCACTTTCATTATTTTGACGAGCGCCTGATTTCACCACGCTGCCTCAAAATTAGAGTAAATCATTCAAGGAAAATATTGCACACACACTCTTTCTCACTAATAAAAAGGGGAAAAAATGAGACTCATGTCTATGACAAAGGCGCTTTAATTAAAAAAAAACAAAAACAAGTTACAATGGAATTCTGATAAAGTCAACATGCCGGACAGAAAAAAAGAGTTGACTCTGAGCAAGGTTGACTTTATCCATTGTACTACTGGCCATTGAAAGGTGAACATGACAGCTACTCTACAAAATTACAAAGTAGGCCTACCTGGTAATAAACAATATGTAATCTCAATTTCAGGGAGTATAGTTCTGAAGGTGTAACCAAAACAAGAGATAATGAAAGAACAACGTAATTGGAGGTGTGTACACCACTAGCTCAGGCGAAATATCTCTTCTTGAATGAATTCATCTTAGGATTTAGCCCCAAATTGTTGACTTTACGCAAGGTTAACACTCAAGCGGTTGACTGTATCAGAAACACAATTACTTAAACAAAGAAGGTAAGAAACGGGACTACAGTGAGGTGTTAATTTTAAGCAAGAGTTGACTTTAAGCAAGTTGACTTTATCAGGA